TATATATATATATATATATATATATATATATATATATTTATATATATAGATAGATATCGTTTTTGAGGAATCGATACGCTTACGAAGATTTCCATACGGATAACTGATATTCGGATAATCGGAAAGGCATCGTATCGCGTATAGGTGGATAGAAAAGCGCGAGATTTATCGACCGATTTTGCTATAGCTGATGTTCTAGCGCAATGGCACGTATGTAATAAATACAACTGCAAGCCAGATATGAGGTACACGTCCGAAAATCGATACGAGCCAATTTTCTTTCTCTGTGTTATCGGAACCGGCCCCCGGCTTCAATATGAAAGTCACAAAATGTATCTGCCGCGCTTTGTGCGTTAGAACGTAACGGTCTCCGTTATTACGTTCGACCTTTAATCGTTCTCGGTGTTACTTTATAACGTTGCACTTGGTAAATGTTGTTGCATCGGTTATATACATAGACATATACATATATATATGAACATTTGAAAAATATGTTAAAGGTATCCACTTTACAGTATTGCATTCTCTGAAAGTTTATCTACATTAGATACGAAACTTTAAGCTTAAAAAAAATTTTACACGTAGGAAAAAGGGTATACTTTAATTAAATATAAAGTTCATTAAAATTTGTTAACTCTAAGTATATAAAATATTGACACAAACGTTTCAAAGTTATGACTGATATGTGTGAAAGATATGCACAAAACAGCATTGCATTCTCTGAAAGTTTATCTACCTTAGATACGAAACTTTAAGCTTAAAAAAAATTTTACACGTAGGAAAAAGAATATACTTTAATTAAATATAAAGTTCATTAAAATTTGTTAACTCTAAATATATAAAATATTGACAGAAACGTTTCAAAGCTATGACTGATATGTATGAAAAATATGCACAAAACAGCATTACATTCTCTGAAAGTTTATCTACCTTAGATACGAAACTTTAAGCTTAAAAAAAATTGTACACGTAGGAAAAAGGGTATACTTTAATTAAATATAAAGTTCATTAAAATTTCTTAACTCTAAGTATATAAAATATTGACAAAAACGTTTCAAAGCTATGACAGATATGTGTGAAATATATGCACGTTTATATATACATATATATATATTCTCCTTCATAGTGACACAACAAGTTCATTGTGAATGTATAATAAATAAGTCCTTACTGTTTTATGCATGAATTCAGAATATCGTTTCTGACTGCTTTTACTTTGGCACGCGGGAACAAATTCCTCGAGTACACTTTATAAGAACGTTCTTTATTTACCATAAAATATCCTTCATCCGCGAAGAGATTCAAGATTCAGTGTAGAAAAAGGGACACCATAGGTTTACTTTTTAAAGAGATCTTTTCGAGATTTAAAGCGAACTTCGATGTACTACCATAAGTATCACGTGATAAATATGTCAGGCTCGATTCTTCTATCCGGAAATATGATTTTCTCTTATATGCATATTACTGCGGTGAAAAAGTTTCATCCTATTTTCTTCGATAAATTTTTTTTAAGTCGTTTTTTTTGTGTCTTCCGATCGATCAATCATTAAAAATGTCGATAAAATTCGGCATGATCGAACAAGTTAGCCAATCACATCGGTAAAAAATTGAACATCGAACAGAATAGAATATTTAAATGATTTGAAGAAAAACAAGATATTAAAATATGACGATAAACTTTGTTTTAAATACTTTGGCATGCAAAAAAAAAAAAGTCAGAAAAAGAAGAAACTTTTTCATCGATTTGCGATATCGTTAAAAAAAAAACGTGTCTCATTCCTTTTTCGAAAAATAATTAATTCGTTCAATATCCTTTTTTTTTTTCCCCCCATATCACAAATAAATTGACCAATATCCGCGCGTTACGTAAAATATCTTTATTCATCTACATTTGTAGATACTAATATAAACATTTCGATTAATGAGATTCAATAAATCAGTGGGAAACTTTCCCAACTCGAAAGCTAGCTTGCTAGGCCAGCAAGCAAGCAAGCAAGCAAGGATTTCATTGAATTTTAGATAATTTGAAATGACAAACGTTCGGCGGTTATCTACTGCTGTTGACATATTATGGAATATTCAAAAGGTAACGAATGAACGAACGAACGAACGAACGAACGAACGAAGAAACCTAAGAGAAATTATCGTTTAAACTAACCGGAGTGTAATCGATATCGAACGAATGGCAAAAACTTTCTGACTTAGAACTTTGATATCCAATCCCTTTCGATTCGCAATTAGCGTTTTTAAGATGACGATGAAGAAGTAGGTGGAGGGGGGAGGTGACTGGGTATGGTAAAGTAGAGTAACATTGAAGTAAAGTAGGAGTAATGGTTTTGGTAGGGGGATGTGAACGGGTGGAAAACTAGAAAGAAATGTGAAAGTGGAGAAGAAGAAGGAAAAGTTGTAAGTGTAAGATCGTCTCTTAATTAGCATCACGGTGAAGGGGTGGGGAAAGGGGGGAATGGTCTACCGTTTTTATAACTAAGATGTAAGAATTTTCATCGCGAGAAACTCGAAAATGTAAGAGAGGATTATTTATGCTTGGACATTCATTATAGTTCCGTTTAGACACACGTTCGTAGAAAAGCTCCAGTTGGAAAAGTAGTAGAAACGGTAAGGTTAAATTGAGACATATCCCGGTGAAAATGTGTAAAGCACCAACGATGCCAACGGCCCAACCCGGCCGAGCTAATGTCAGAGATTAGAGGTAATCCGTATTCGCAGGTAATCAAGAAGAAGGATCTTCTTCCTTCGTAGACGACGAGTAGGTAGGAACAACTTTGATCTAGATAATAACGTCGTGGCTGCTATTCTTCGACGAAACGAAAATTTCTTACCTCGTCGCTTGTCCTCACCTTTCTGCTTGCCCCCTTTCCCCATTCCAAGAAAATTCCAAGAGAATAAAAAGAGTTAAATAAAATATAAAGAAAAGAAGAAGATTACTGTTTAAAATTGTTGATAAGGTTCGTTCGTTTCTATCCTAGTATATATATGCATTCACGTGTCTGTATCTGTGCGTATGTATATTGTGTGTGTATGTGTGTCCACAGTTTTAATGATCGATCGATACTTTCAACGAGCTAAAACCTTTCGTATTTTTACACTGTATGATTTACGAAATGTTTGTTTTACCTGCCATCTGCATGCGCATAGTAAAATGATTGGCTGACCCGTTGGAGGGGAGTTTGTTATGTAATTCTTTACTTTTCCATATCGAAAGACACGACTGGTTAGTTTTACGATCTATTAATGTATTCCTATCGCGGGGTTATGGCGTTAAATGAATCGGTAAATTAATTATTCAACTCTCTCTTTTTATTCTAATATCATTACACGAGAACGTTATACGATTGATGATTATGATTATGATGATTATGATGGAGAATATAAATTTCGGAAGTCTAATGAAAGAAGAACGGTAAGATTTTTCTTCTTTACGCATATTTAATATCAGCAATTAAATAATCATTCTTACAATTTGTTAATCCGTC